AAAAAAAAAAAAAAAAAACCTTCAATCTATTCATTATTTTTATATTTACAGAAACACAAAATTCTTTTTAATCTTATCTTATAGTGACAATGACTCTTAAGACAAGAAGTACGGTAAGAGAGATATCCGATGACTCCATAAAATTATTGGTCATTTGTAATGTCCAAATCTCATTCTCATTGATTCATAATGGCACATTTTAAAATTTCTGGCCATTTGTAATGTCCAAATCTCATCCTCATTGATTCATAATGGCACATTTTGTCCAAAATCACCGAATCGTACCCCATAAGAGGCCATAAACATGGTAAAGCGATCATTAAAAATTGTAATGTCACATTAAATACAATGTACATTCCTTGCCCTTTACCAGCCAGAATATACCAGTCAGAACACGTCAATCTCAAAACTGTTGAGCTGCACAGCACAAGTTTCACATGTTTCAAATTTATCCGAGTTCATCGTGGAAGGATATATGACTAAGACTAAGCTATGGGTACACGATAAAATTAAAGGAGGCACCATTTTCAAATCTATATAAAATAAACAACATTTGAAGTCTTACACTAACAAATGATTGATGCTGTTTAAGTTTGTAGGGTACAGAACTTGCGTTCCGTCTTTTATGTTTGCCATACATCCACCTTCTGAACAGCACTATTCCTTCTGGAAGAAAGAGAGTACAAAATCCGTATGTACAGAGAAGAGCTGCGTGTCCACAAAAAGCTGTTGCCCAAATACACATGCAAATGATCAAGAATAAAATGTATTTAGCATGCCGACTTTTAAGTTCTTCTTTGTGCAAAACAATCCAATGTTAAATAAGAGCAATTATTCAGAAAGAAAAAAGTGTACCTTCATGAAAGGACGGTCCCGACTGGGGAACGACTCTATGAAACTCTCTTTAAGCAGCAATGACACCTGAGGATTGATGCACATGTAGTTGATGATTATTTTGGTGAACAGTTTGGAATAATTAAGTGTGAATGAACTAAAAGGTGTAGCATGCGATGTGATTCGAGCCACACGGTGCAAGAAATATAAACTACACAAACATCATTGGCAATTATTTTGTTTGAAAGTTAATAATACTGAATAAAATGGTTAGATGTGTTCAAAATACAAATATATTTTTCTCGGAAAAAAGTAGTATTGTAATTTGTATATTCTGCTCACTAACTATACCAATATGTAGGTTAACCACATTTCAATGCTCGAATATAACAGGCTTTGCAAATAAGATAAATGAAAATGGAAACAAAGTAATCATCGCTCTGTAACAAACTATTATTCTTATTTTCAAGAAATATAAAGACCTTGTCGTCGTTCGATTGAACATTAGTAATTGTGTGAGAACGAAGGTTGGAACACAGAGAATCCAAGTAAGACCGTAGTACACCCAGGAACCCTTTAGCAGCTTCAACCTGAATTTGTTACGAGTCAAAAATTGCACAAGATATACAAACTAACAAAGGTCAGAAATACACATTAACAGACTAACAGTTTAAGCTCTTACAGTAGAAGAAAAATAGCAGCAGCAAGTTTCTTTGTTAACCAAAAACATAATCTATTTGATTAAAGACACAAACACAACCTAAAGTCAAAAGCGAGAGACAAGAAAGTGCAGACTAATATACCTGCACGTCAGTACAATCATAAACTGGCCTTTTCTTGCCCAAATAACTTTCTCCCACCAGCTTTGCATGGTAAGGGCTAAGACATGAATACAGTTCTTTATGTTGAGGCAGCTGAGGTATTGTTGGTGATTTCACCTGTTGACCACAAACACACACAAAGGACAACAGGTTAATGTCGCTGGTTTCAAATCTACAGTGACAGCATAAGCATAAACACATGTTAATTGTCAATTTAGGGGTGGCAACTAGGTCTATTCATTCAGTCGTTTGGTATCGAGTCAGCTTCAGGTTTTATGCTCAGAGACTGAATAAATTTTTCAATTAAATTTGGTACATCCTGGTGTCAGGCTATGCGGGTTCGTGTGAGAGAATATTTTTATAAACAGCACAACATATGCAATTGAAGCAACCCTGTTATTTCTGGATAGCCAAACTGGAAATAACACTTTACCTGGTTCCTATTTGCATCCACTACAATGACGTTTGTTAACTTTGCCTGCACTTCGGTTGTCTTGTTTCTTACACCTACCTGCTCCAAAAAATAGCCTCAAATAAGAAAAACAGATCACAAGAAAAAATATGAATAAGAGCATGAACCACCAAATCATAACTTATCCTCAAATTTTACCGCTGACAATCACTTAACTGAGCTAATTACGACTAAAGAAAACCAAGAGCACACACACATACACACA